TCTATCTACCTTTATACTTTAGTTTTAATATCGTTTCAAACTACTCTTTCGTATAAAGAGTAGTTTAAGTGGAATGACATTGATTATATAACCGTAACTATATCAATTTAAACTACTTAGGTTTTTTCAATGCAAAGAAAAATTTAAGTATATAACAATTTTTTCCTGGTCATATCAATAAGGTCATGAAATTTCGATTTCTTTGTCTTTTTTTTTTTTACATATAATGGATTTGCCTGAAACGCTGCACGATTTTCTTTTAGTCTTTCTGGGATCGGGTCTTATATTAGGAAGTTTAGGAGTAGTATTACTTACCAACCCCATTTTTTCTGCTTTTTCGTTGGGACTGGTTCTTGTTTGTATCTCTTTCTTATATATTTTAGCAAACTCGCATTTTGTAGCTGCATCACAGCTACTTATTTACGTGGGAGCTATTAACATTTTAATCATATTTGCTGTGATGTTCATGAATAGTTCCGAATATTACCAAGATTTTCATCTTTGGACCATAGGGGATGGAATTACTTTGATAGTTTGTACAAGTATTTTTGTTTCACTAATAACTATTATTTCAGATACATCATGGTACGGAATTATTTGGACTACAAGACCAAATCAGATTATTGAACAAGATTTGATAAGTACTAGTCAACAAATTGGAATTCATTTATCAACAGATTTTTTTCTTCCATTTGAACTAATTTCAATAATTCTTTTAGTTTCTTTGATAGGTGCAATTGTCGTAGCTCGCCAGTAAGAAATCTTTAGAGAACTACTAATATAAATCAAGACTATATATATATATGTATTTTTTTTTTTTCAATGTGAAGTGAAAGAGTTTTTAGGTAGAAATTCTTTTTTTTTATTGCCAATATATTCTTTTGTTGCAGACTTGTTATATTCTTTAGTCAATTGAATCTGTTGAATTGTTGTTCATATTGAAATGAATCAAAATTGATAAGGAGTTGGTCAATGATGCTCGAACATGTACTTGTTTTGAGTGCCTATTTATTTTCTATTGGTATCTATGGATTGATCACGAGCCGAAATATGGTTAGAGCCCTTATGTGTCTTGAACTTATATTGAATGCAGTGAATATAAATCTAGTCACTTTTTCTGATTTTTTTGATAATCGCCAATTAAAAGGAAATATTTTTTCAATTTTTGTTATAGCTATTGCAGCCGCTGAAGCGGCTATCGGACTGGCTATTGTTTCCTCAATTGCTCGTAACAGAAAATCAACCCGTATCAATCAATCGAATTTGTTGAATAAATAGCATGAATCATATCATAATTAATAAAAAAGAAACAAAGTAGAATTTCAAATAGTGTAATATTAATCAATTCATTTTAGTATTTATTCGACACAACTTATGATCATATCATGTTTGCATTCCCTAAATCATAAGAAATCAAAGTATCCTGGTCCTCTTCTATTTCCTCTTCTAAATTTATCTAGACGCCTTTTTTATTAACAGTTAACAATATTATCACAAATCATTGATTCATCTGGTATATAAATATACGATTCATTTACGAGTTTACTAGATCGATAATTTTCATTTTTGAACATCAAAAATTACTATAGATATAATGTCACATTCAGTAAAGATTTATGATACATGTATAGGATGTACTCAATGTGTCCGAGCCTGTCCCACAGATGTATTAGAAATGATACCTTGGGATGGATGTAAAGCTAAGCAAATAGCTTCTGCCCCAAGAACAGAGGACTGTGTTGGTTGTAAGAGGTGTGAGTCCGCTTGTCCGACAGATTTCTTAAGTATTCGAGTTTATTTATGGCATGAAACAACTCGAAGTATGGGTCTAGCTTATTGATACGTTTCAAAAAACACCACACGAATACGTTTTTTACTGGCAAAAACTCGTGCTCAAAATCAAATAGAAAAAAATTTTCTATTTGATTTTGAGCACGGGCTTTTCTGGCCCAAGTGTATCTTATTTTTATCACGAATGATTTTCCTTGGTTAACAATAGTTGTTGTTTTCCCAATAGCCGCAGGTTCCTTCATTTTCTTATTTCCTCATAGGGGAAATAAGGTAATTAGGTGGTATAGCATTTGTATATGCTTAATCGATCTCCTTCTAACAACCTATGCATTTTGTTATCATTTCCAATTGGATGATCCACTAATTCAACTGACGGAGAATTCTAAATGGATCAATTTTTTTGATTTTTACTGGAGATTAGGAATAGATGGACTCTCTATAGGACCTATTTTACTGACGGGATTTATAACTACTTTAGCCACTTTAGCGGCTCAGCCGGTTACTCGAGAATACCAATTATTCTATTTCCTGATGTTAGCAATGTATAGCGGTCAAATCGGACCATTTTCTTCTCGAGACATTTTACTTTTTTTCATCATGTGGGAATTGGAATTAATTCCCGTTTATCTACTTTTATCCATGTGGGGGGGAAAGAAACGTTTGTATTCAGCTACAAAGTTTATTTTGTACACTGGAGGAGCTTCTATTTTTTTATTAATGGGAATTCTGGGTATCGGTTTATATGGCTCTAATGAACCAACATTAAATTTTGAAACATTAATTAATCAATCGTATCCCGTGGCACTAGAAATAATATTATATACGGCATTTCTTATTGCTTTTGCTGTCAAATCGCCGATTATACCCTTACATACATGGTTACCAGATACCCACGGAGAGGCACATTACAGCACTTGTATGCTTTTAGCCGGAATCTTATTAAAAATGGGAGCGTATGGGTTGGTTCGAATTAATATGGAATTTTTTTCCCACGCTCATTCCATATTTTGCCCCTGGTTAATGATATTAGGTTCTATTCAAATAATCTATGCCGCTTCAACATCTTTTGGTCAACGTAATTTAAAAAAAAGAATAGCTTATTCTTCGGTATCTCATATGGGTTTTATAATTATAGGAATAAATTCTATAAGTGATACTGGTCTCAACGGGGCCATTTTACAAATAATATCTCATGGATTTATTGGCGCTGCCCTTTTTTTCTTGGCAGGAACTAGTTATGATAGACTGCGTCTTCTTTATCTTGACGAAATGGGCGGAATGGCTATCCCAATGCCAAAAATATTCACTATTTTCACTATCTTATCAATGGCTTCTCTTGCATTGCCTGGCATGAGCGGTTTTGTTGCAGAATTGATAGTTTTTTTTGGAATAATTACTAGTCAAAAATATCTTTTCATGATGAAAATACTAATTACTTTTGTAACAGCAATTGGAATTATATTAACTCCTATTTATTTATTATCTATCTTACGGCAGATGTTCTATGGATACAAATTTTTTAATACACCAAACTCTTCTTTTTTTGATTCAGGGCCCAGAGAATTATTTATTTCGATTTCAATTCTTATACCCATAATAGGTATTGGTATTTATCCAGATTTCATTTTCTCATTTTCGGTTGACAAGGTTGAAGCTATTCTATCTAATTTTTGATGGATGATTTTTGTGAATAAATGAATCAAAAAGATAAAAAAAAGATTTTTCCGTTAGATTCACTTCAAAATTTGAAATGATAATCGAATATGTTTGTTGTTTGTGAGAACCCCTTGAATCATTACATTACTTGATTGAAAGGGTTCTCAACGATTTATGGAACGTATATATTTATATGCTTTCCATATTTTTCTTTCTCAGGTTCTTTACTCATTTTTAGTCAATTAGATGTAAATGAACCATAACTATGTAGTCCTATTCCTAATAGATTGATCCCCAAATAACATATCCAAATTATAAGAAATCCTATAGAGGCCACTATTGAAGAATTTACACCTTCTAATTTTTTATTTTTTCTAGTATGTAAATAAATCGCGAATATGGTCCAAGTAATAAAGGCCCAAGTTTCCTTTGGATCCCAATTCCAATAGGAACCCCATGCCTCGTTAGCCCATACTGCTCCTGAAAGAATACCTATCGTTAAAAAGAGAAAACCCAGACTAATAATACGATAACCCCAACGATCCAATTGTTGAATAAATTGAGACCTGTAATAATTTATAGAAGAAGAAAAAGAAGTTTTTCGTAAAACATTGTTTCTTTCATTCCTATTCATGTATTTGATTTCAACAAAATCAACTGATTTTTTTAAAGAATCCAAATTCTTGGTAAAAGCAAGAATTTGGATGACTTCTTGAAACGTAATGACTAAAATAGCCACTGATAATAATGATCCACATAAAAGAGCTGCATAGCCCAGTATCATCATACTTACGTGCATCATTAGCCAATGGGATTGTAGAGCGGGTACTAATATTACGGATTGATGCATTTTGGTTAAAAGACCCGAAGTCGCAAAGCCTTGGGTAAAAATAACACTTGGTGCAATTATTGTACTTAAAAGGTTTTTCTCCTTTTTAAAAAAAGGAACCATATGAAAAATTGAAAAACCCCATGAAAGAAAGATTAGGGATTCATATAAATCACTAAATGGTAAATGTCCCGAAAAAAACCAACGAGTAATTAACAATCCCGTTACACAGAAAAAACTTATTATCATGGCTTTTTTGGACAAATCATATAATCCTACGATTTCATTGCCTAATAAGGTTATCAAATGAATTGAAATAACAATTGATATCACGGAAAACGATATATGAGTTAATATATGCTCTAAAGTTGTAAATATCATATATATAATGAAAATAAAAATATCTATAATGAAAATAAAAAAGGTATGAATTGATGCTGATGTGCATCTTACATAGTTAATGATGCAGAACTTTTTCAGTTCATCCTATTGGCTCGTCCTAAATAAGTATAGCTCCATCCAATTTTGGAATCTCAATTAATCCCTATATTATTGTCTTTTTTATTTCTCAATTTTCTTATTTATACCATCCTAATCTAGAATAAGATTAGGAATGAAACCTCTATTATTCTGTCTAATCTATAAGAAAAAGAAAATGTACATACAGATATTTCTTTAATATCTGGGGTTGTCGAAGTTCAGATTACTTTCTGATTTTTATCATTTAGTGAGCATCTTGTATTTCATAAAAATTGGGGGCGATATAATCTTTACGCAAAGGCCATCCTATCCAACTTTCGGGCATTAAAATACGTTTCAGACGCGGATGATTATCATAATAGATTCCTAACATATCATAAGATTCCCTTTCTTGAAAATCTGCACTTTTCCAAACCCAGAAAATAGAAGGAATTCTCGGATTTTGCCTTGGGGTAAATACTTTTATGCATACCTCTTCGGGTTGATCTAGACTATACTCTATTCTCGTAAGATGATAGACACTCGCTAATAGTCCTCCTGGTGCTACATCATAGGCACATTGGGAACGTAGATAATTGTAACCATATACATATAAAATAACAGCAATCGAATGCCAATCCTCGGGCTTTATTTGTAAAGTCTCTATTCCTTGATAATCAAAACCTAAAGATCTATGAACTATTCCGTGTTTGACTAGCCAAGCAGACAAATTACCTTGCATTTTTTTACTTCTCCCGAGTTTTTTATAAGATTGGTATAAGTATTTACCATTTATTTACATTACAATGAAATTTTTGAAGATTGACTTGCTTGCTATTTCTTATTGTATTTTGTACAAAAGGATCCTGTTTAATTCACTTTTTCGTTCGTCGGAGGATACTGAACTTTTTTATATTTCAAAAATGTGTCAGAGGTTATCTCTGAAATAGATGATGGTTGATAGAATAATCCTTGATTATAATTGCCGGTATGAGTACCGCGTCCAACATAAAATTTGTGGTTGGTAGTAAAACACCTATTCTCTCGTTGATAACTAAATTGATCTTCATAGATTTCTCGAGATATTTTCTTACGAAGTTTTGTTATAGCATCTATAACGGCTTCCGGTTTAGGTGGACAGCCCGGCAAATATACATCCACAGGAATTAGCTTATCCACGCCCCGAACAGTACTATAAGAATCGGTACTGAACATACCTCCTGTAATTGTACAGGCTCCCATAGCAATAACATATTTTGGTTCGGGCATTTGCTCATATAATCGAACTAAAGAAGGAGCCATTTTCATAGTTACGGTGCCCGCTGTTAAAATGAGGTCTGCCTGCCTAGGACTAGAGCGTGGTACCAGTCCATAACGATCAAAGTCAAATCGCGATCCTATTAATGAAGCAAATTCAATGAAGCAACAACTAGTACCATAGAGAAGCGGCCATAAACTAGATAGTCTTGACCAATTTGAAAGATCATTTAATGTAGTAGAAATAACTGAATTTTTGGTTTTTTGATCAAGTAAGGGAAACTCAATGGAATTCATAACTGTCTCAATGTTTTGTTTAATTGTCTAAATATTCAAGAATTAAGACCATTCTAATGCTCCCTTTCGCCATGCATAAACTAAACCAACAATTAGGATAAGCACGAAGATGAAAGCTTCTATAAATACGGATACCCCCAATACATCAAAACTCATTGCCCACGGGTAAAGAAAGACTGTTTCAACATCAAAAACAACAAAAACTAGAGCAAACATATAATAACGGATTTGAAATTGTAACCAAGCATCGCCCATCGGTTCTATTCCGGATTCATAACTAGAAAGTTTTTCTGGCCCTTTCCTAATTGGAGCTAAAATTCCAGAAATTAGAAATGCCAAAATAGGAATAAAGATCGATATTATTAGAAATGTCCAAAAAATATCATATTCATAAAGCAAAAACATAAATGTCCTCCTAGGAATGGGGAAAATATACTGGATTCATATTAATTCTGAGTCGATTTGAATTGAAATTTTCAAATTCTTAGATTCATTAATAGAATCTAAATAGAAATGCTTTGTATTTTCTTAAGTTTACATTTTTTCTAATAAAATTGAGATTATTATCTGAGTATACTAATACTCATATTATTCTATCCACTATTAATCTATTCGAATAGAAATTACTTTATTCATTCTTTCTATTACAAAAAGTATTGAAAGTATATTTATACTAGTAGTATTACTAGTATGGAGTATTCAATATAGTACTAATCTAGTACATATAGTATTAGTACATATATATTTGTAATGACAGATATTAGATAAGAAATCTAAATCTGAGTAGTATCGGTAGTAATATTAGGGCTATACGGACTCGAACCGTAGACCTTCTCGGTAAAACACATCAAACTATTATTTATTATTATCAAAATGATTTGAATTGTTTGAAAGACCCAACGTGCATTTTTTTTGCATTGGGCTTTTTCATTAACTGATAGAAATATCAATTAGTCTACCATCTTTTTTCTTTACACAAAGAAAAAGGAAATGACTCCCTGTGCTCTGATTTCTTATTTAGATCAAAATCTAAGAGCACTACCAAAGTTTTTCAAAGAAGAAGGTTATCCTGACGTAGGTCTGCTTCTGGCCTGGATCAACTTAAGTTAAATGGACTCTCTATCAACCTACTTCAATAAAAATATCAAATAGGAAATGAAACTTCATACACCTTAAAGTTCATAAGATAGGAAGAAAAGAGATTTTTTTTGAGGTCCCTAGACTCATTGCCTAGCATTGAATAGATTAAGTATTCACCGTATCAATATCTCAAATCCATTATGGATTCCATTTGACGTCTAAATCCTTTGTCAGGCTATTGTTCTCTTATTTTGTTCCGGGAGTAAGACATCGATTTATCAATTAAGATCAACTCTTTTAATTACATGATGGACTCCTATGAAAAAACATTGGCGCATGTGTAAACGAGGTGCTCTACCTAACTGAGCTATAGCCCTTGTGCTTTGGATACATATTTGATCATATTCGATAAATAAATTCTGTGTCAAGATAAATATGACATGATCCAATCTCTTTGATTTATATTGCGTTTGTATTGTTTATAAGTAATATAACATTTATAATCCATTGATCTGATAGACAGCTACTTTTTTTATTTAGGATGATAAATGACCTACTTAACTCAGTGGTTAGAGTATTGCTTTCATACGGCAGGAGTCATTGGTTCAAATCCAATAGTAGGTAAGGTATTGGTAGAACTTATTAGATACCATTAATTCCGGTATCTAATAAGTTTTTCTACTCACCATTGTTTTATTGTAATTTTCTATCTTTTTTCTATTTTTTGGCTGCACCAACTTGTTATGAGATCATATTGATAGCCTCTACTCGTGTCCTAGCTCGCCGGAGAGCTAGATTTGCTTCAATTGTTTGTCTCTTGCCTTCAGCCTTATTCAAGTTAGCTTCTGCTATTTGAAGAGTTTGTTGTGCTTCTTGTGGATTAATGTCACTACCCCTTTCTGCATCATTTACTAAAATAGTGATCTCATTATTGCCTATTCTAGCAAAACCGCCCATCAGAGCCATCGTTAACCATCGGTCGTTAAGGCGTATTCTCAAAATACCTATATCTAAAGATGTGGCAATAGGCGCATGATTTTTTAATACCCCAATTTGTCCACTATTAGTAGATAAAATAATTTCTTTCACTTCTGAATCCCAAACAATTCGATTGGGGGTCAGTACACAAAGATTTAAAGTCATTTCTTGAATTTGTTCTCCATTTCTAAGTTAAGTTCGTAGCCTTCGCAGTAGCTTCATCGATATTACCCACCAAATAAAAGGCTTGTTCAGGAAGACTATCTAATTCTCCAGAAAGAATCAATTTAAATCCTCGAATTGTTTCTGCTAGACCAACATATTTCCCTGGGGAACCGGTAAATACTTCTGCTACGAAAAAAGGTTGTGATAAGAAACGTTCAATTTTTCGTGCTCTTGCTACGGTTAAGCGATCCTCTTCGGATAATTCGTCCAACCCAAGAATAGCTATAATGTCCTGAAGTTCTTTGTAACGTTGTAACGTTTGTTTCACTCTTTGCGCAGTTTCATAATGTTCTTCACCGACGATGCGAGGTTGGAGCATGGTTGACGTTGAATCTAAAGGATCTACTGCTGGATAGATACCTTTGGCAGCTAATCCTCTTGATAGTACAGTAGTTGCATCCAAATGTGCAAATGTCGTGGCAGGAGCAGGATCAGTCAAATCGTCTGCAGGTACATAAACTGCTTGAATAGAAGTTATAGACCCTTCTTTGGTAGAAGTAATTCTTTCTTGTAAAGTACCCATTTCAGTACCCAGGGTGGGTTGATAACCCACAGCGGAAGGCATTCGGCCCAATAAGGCGGATACTTCGGATCCGGCTTGGACAAAACGGAAGATATTGTCGATAAATAGAAGGACGTCCTGCTCATTGACATCTCGGAAATATTCTGCCATAGTTAGGGCAGTTAAACCAACTCTCATACGAGCTCCGGGCGGTTCATTCATTTGACCGTAGACTAGAGCTACTTTTGATTCCGCAATATTTTTTTCATTAATTACTCCGGATTCTTTCATTTCCATATAAAGATCATTTCCCTCACGAGTACGCTCACCTACTCCGCCAAATACGGATACACCTCCATGAGCTTTGGCAATGTTATTGATCAATTCCATAATGAGAACTGTTTTACCTACCCCAGCTCCACCGAAAAGTCCTATTTTTCCGCCACGGCGATAAGGAGCTAAAAGATCGACTACTTTAATTCCTGTTTCAAAAATGGATAATTGTGTATCTAACTGTATAAAGGCAGGCGCAGATCTATGAATAGGAGATGTTGTGCGAGTATCTACAGGACCCAAATTATCAATAGGCTCTCCAAGCACGTTGAAAATTCGACCTAGGGTTGCTCCACCGACTGGAACACTTAGAGCAACTCCCGTGTCAATCACTTCCATTCCTCTATTTAGACCATCTGTAGCACTCATAGCTACAGCTCTAATTCTATTATTTCCTAATAATTGCTGTACTTCACACGTTACGTTAATTTGTTGGCCAACCGTATCTCGACCTTGAACTATCAGAGCGTTGTAAATATAAGGCATCTTCCCTGGTGGAAAAACTACATCGAGTACCGGACCGATTATTTGCGTGATACGCCCCAGATTTTTTTTTTCAAGTGCAGAAACCTCAGTATCAGAAGGAGGAGGAGTTATTGTCATATTAAAAAATATCCATTTTTTTGAAAAAAAAAAATTGAAATTAAGAAAAAACTGTTTGATAACAAAGCAAGTTGATCGGTTAATATTCTTAATTTTCTTAATATTTAATAATATATAAAAGAATAAATGTAAGTTAATAATCGATTTTCTTGGTACCATCCAACCAATTCAATTGTTTTTAAATTTCAATGAGTGAATTTTCAAGGTCAACCCAGTCATTATGAAAATTTTAATTGGATGAAATCTTTTGAAAGTCTTTCATTTGTTTATCATTCTAGATTATAGACAATACTATCTATATTATCTATGTAATTCGAACCTGAACTTTGTTTGTTTATGATTCCGTTTTTCTATCTCATTGGTCCTTCTTTTTTCTTTCCTCAGCATAGGATTTATACTATGCAGATTCTTTTTACCAATTTTTCTTTTTATTGGGCAAATTCTGCCGATTTTGACATCTAGGATTT